GCTGTTGCTGCTTGGCTAGCAGATATAGTCAGATCAGTAATGGTTAAAAGTTTGGTTTTAAGGAACTCCCATCAAAATGTCTTGAGTTATTCCTAGAAAATGTCCTCTTCATATTTTTTTCAGCCTTGAACTGGTTACTGTGCTTCTCATATGTAGCTAAAACATCTCACATCTCAACTTTAAGGAGTGTTTTGGAATTCTTTTGGTAAAATCTAGCAGAAGCGATAACTAGCATTATCAGGGTTTTCTTTATTAACAGACCCATGAACTTCTGGAGTACATTTAATTCAGTGCTGAAATAGTAAATTCAGCTTTTAAAATAGCTTTTAAAATTTTACCAAGTTGCATGTTCAAGATTGTTTATTGCAGCATTGTTTATCATAGCAAAAAAAAGCAAACCCACAAACAAACACAAACTGGACACGATGTATTTATCAGTAGTGGTCTGGTAAAATGATAAATTTTTAACAACGGCATATTATGCAGTTTAAAGAATATGGCAGATGAATATGTGCTGATGTGAAAAATGCAAAGTGCTGAACATATGCAAACTAAGCTGCCATTTGTACCATATGGGATATATTTGAAAAATTTTTTTGTCCTAATTCTTAGTCTCATTATTACCATTCCTTTTCATACAATAGCTTTTCTCTAAGGTAGAGAATTGTAAGAAAAGTGAACTAATTTCGCCACAAATGTAAACAAAATTAAATCAAGATGATGATAGGAACACTTACATAGTCCTTACTATGTGCCAGGTATTGTTCAATTACATGTTTTAAACATTTACTCTTCACAACAACCCTGTGAAGCATGGATAATCTTTATCCACATTTTTCAGATGAGGAAACTGAGATGTTAATTCCACACAAGGTTGCAAGGCAAGTATTTGTCGAAGCTGACTTACATACCCTTGCAGACTGGCTCCAATGTCTGTGTGCTCTTAACTACCAATTCTATGCATCCTCTCAACTTACTTTTGACATTGATGGAAACTAAATGAGATACTTTGTCATTTTTCTTTCTTGTAGACAAATGATTTGTTGTGTTTATATAATACATGATACCTAATAACAGGATGGTCCTATTTCTATTGCTGAAAACAATCTGTTATATATTCTTTTAATTAACCTTTCATTTTAACTCGTTCATTTAGTTAGGTAGTTCTCAACTGTGGAGAATTTTGTGCCCCAGAGGACATTTGGCAGCGTTTGGAGACATTTTTGGTTGTCACAGTGGGGCTGGGAGATGGGAGATAGTTGCTACTGTCATCTACTGGATAGCTAGGGATGTTGCTAAACATCCTAAAAATGCGTAGGATAACTTTGCGTAACCAAGATTTATCCAGCCCAAATGTCAATAGTGCCAAGAAACACTGATTTAGTTGGCATAAGGAAAGTTCTCAATAATTGGACTCCTGTCCTAAAAAATACCAAGTATATTATTTTGTTTTCAAGCTAGTAGCACTGAGAAAAGCAAACTTTATTTTTACTTTTTTTTACACTGATATTTTTCACTTTTCCCACCTGGCATTGTGTGATATGTAAGTGCCAGAGCTGCCAAGGGTAGCAAATTCATGGGACCATGGAACATCACCCACACGTTGAAATGTAACCTTGTTGGCCAATTAGAGCCTCTAACTTGGTCAGGTGACTTAAGATGATCATTTGAGTGGATTTAAAGGCAATGTACTTATATAATATACAGTTTAGGGAGGTGACAGGAGTGCTACAAGGTAAATGTTTAAATGAATGATTGAAAAATTATAAACAAGAGCTGTGCCTACTTTGGTGTGGATATGCACAGCTTTAAAAGAAGGGAAAGAAAAGCCTTTACAATTTAAAAAAAGCTTGTTATAATTTCATTAGGTAAGAGGAAAAGTGGTAACTGGAAGCTCAGAGGGAGCAGTAAGAAAGGTATTTTACTGTTTCAAGAAATGGATGGCAGTACCTTATTTTTCAACCAGTAAAACAGCCTGCAGATAAAATCATTTTGGTTGGTGGATAAAGGTGTGCTGTAAATTGACACTGAACTTTAACTTGCCCTATGATCAACCAGCCAGAACCTGAATAGTTCCTGCGGAAGAGCTGTTTCTCAATTCCAGGAAGGCAGAGTAAATGTTAAGTTTCCTACTGACCGGGAAAGTCTATTGAAATGAATACACCAGGGGAAACTGGGTTCACCATTTCTCCCATGTTAACACTGATTTTAAAGGTTTCTTTCAGCCTCTTCTAGAATGGTAAGGGCTTCGGATTATTTCAGAAATACAGTGGTAACGTTTCAGGCTGGCTACTTCCTTTCTGTTGCTGGGCACTTACACCTTGGTTCCCAGCAGAGGCTGTAAAGTACTGCTGCCGCTGTTGCCTGTAGGGCTTGCCACACATATCAGGTCAGCTTCTGGGAAATGATGGGATTGATGATCCTCTGGAAAACCTTTCATCACAGAGATTCACATCAGGTTGTATTTTAAAGCAGGCTGAAAAAGAAAGCCATTAGCCTTTCTTAACTCTTAATTCAGGATCCAAATAGCTTTTGATTTATTGATTAATTAATTTTATATCTTTTTCAAGCTGAACACTGAATAGCTTAGCATAGGCCTTCCATCCTCTCTGCCTTGTTGCCAGAGGATTTTCCTCCTTTCTCTTCAGCCTCACTGTGATCTGTACAAACAGCTACTAACTGAAGGAGAGCTTATTAGAAGGGGAATTATCCATGTCTGAGCTTTGAAATTCTGAAAATGAGAGGATTGTTTTGTCTGGAAAAGGCACAAGTTTGTATGCTCTGGCTGTGAAATAATGCCTGTTACTTTTTATTAAAATAACAAGGGAGGTTAAGGAAACCATAAAAGAAAAAGTTTGATCACAATCCTGCAATTCTCAAAGCCATGTCCTTTTCTATACAGCTTTATTAAAGAAATGAAGCAGATCTGATTTAGTGTGAAAGAATAACAAGGTTTGTCCAACCTCTCTCTGCTTCATTATGGGCTCTAGGTTGTATATTTCAACAGTATTTGAATAGAGAATGCAAATTTTAATAGGCATATGACTTTGTATACTCAGTTTTTAAAATAAGACTAAAAGTACAAAATAATGTACAGAACTAGATTCTGAATAGGTGAATTATATTCATACTGACAGCAAGAAGTGTTTTATTAGGGATGGGCAAGAAACTAAGAGGTGTTAGAAAGCCCCATTTTAAATGAGGGAATTTAGTGTGAGTCTGTGTGTGTGAATCTTTGCACTTGTGTTTTGATTAAGAAGTATCAGCTAACATTGAATTGTTGGAGAATTACCCTTGTTTCTCCAGCCTTTCTGTGTAACTGAGAGCTGATGTGAGTCAAATACAGAAAATAGCTAGTGTCATGATTAGGAATACTTGTTTTTCAGATGATTCCCTCAGGACTTCTTTTAGCCCTTACACCAGGAACTGAGTTGTCCCCTCCCCATAGGTTTGTTAATGATAGGATACTCAACCCTCAAGGCTTAGGATGGTTCAGGTGCTACAGTTCTTTCTTCCCCTCTATGTGTTGTTGGCTTTTTCTGACTTTTTAGGAGACTCGGCCTCATTTAAAACAATGTCCCTTTGAGTGAATACAATCTGAATTTTTAACAGGTGACTTACAAATGATCTTGTGGAATATATTTTCTTGATTTAAGAATTACCTCTGCTGAATTGCCTTTTAGTAATGGGCCTCCAAAAGCTCTATCAATCTAATTTATGGGTGTATATTAATATGCTGTTAGAGAAACTGGCTACCCAGTTACTGAAATAAATAAGCAGTCTAGAGGCAACAAATGAGAAACTTTATCCAGTCTTGTGCTTGGCAGCAAGACACTCTAGGTCTGTTTTATTTATGCTATTGCTGCCACTTTCTTTTCTTTTTTCTCATCATTTCTTTCTTTGCCCCAGAGCACCAAGCAATAGTTTTACCTACTTTCACTCTAACACTTCCTGGGCTTATGTACAGTGGAATCAGAAAGGCAAGTCAGCTAACAGAGGGCAATGGAGTTTGGAGGCTTGAACTCTCAGCAAAAGAGATCAAATGGGACTAATTTTAGAAGAATTGGTTTTAGGGTAGTTAAATAGAGAGCAATATAAATAAATAGATATGCTAATAATACACTATTACTCTTTGTTTTCATTTATTTTGCCTCAGTATATATTTTTTTCCTTCAGGAAATATCCACAACATCCATTGAGATCTAGAAAATATGCAAGAGTTCTTTACGTCCCACCTCTCTTATTAATGGAGATAGAGAATCATACAATTTTGGGGAAAAGTAGCTAAATGTTATTTTTAGACTAAAAGAAAATAAAACAATGAGTGCTATCAAGATTGTGTTAAAGAGAAACTTCTTATACCTCTGGGAAATACATTATTACAAACCATTTGGGAAGCCATTTAGCAATATGCACCTAGAAGCCTAAAATATTTGTGTCTTTTGACCTAGGAATTCTATTTCTGATAATTTACTGTAAGGAATTAATCATAAATATAGAAAAGCCTTCATAGGCAGTAGAGTTTATCACAATACTAATTTATAATGAAAAAAATGGGAAACAATTTAATGTCCAACTGTAAGGAAATGGTCAAGGAAACCCCAGTCAACCAATTGTTATGTAACCATTGAGAATGTTTACTAGGAGTATAAAATAACATGAAAGATGCTTTTGATATAGTGTTCAGTGGTGAAAAAGGTAATGTAGAGTGTTCCCTATTCAATATGATTACAAATTAGTAAGATATACCTATGCTTGGAAAAAATTAAGTATATTAAAATGTAGGCAGTGATTTATGTTTGGATGATGAAACTTTGATTTTTGTTTTATAGCAGTTTCAAAATTTTCTTTAATGATTATGTACTATTTAGATAGTGGGAAGAAAGAATGAAATCCTTCTACCTTCCCACTAAAAGTATTACTTTCCTTACAGCTTTAAACAGCAGTCGTAAAAGTCAGTCTGCAAGCTTTGGAATAAGACTTGCAAGAGAATATTGTGCAGCATGGATTCTCTACCAGAAGAATTTATTGTGAGGTAAGGTATGGGTTGACAAAAGACCAGCTGCAGTTGTTGCATTTTGAAGACACGACATTGGTCTTTTTCACATAACTTTGGGAAGCTAGTGTGAATGAGATACCCTTATGTTTCAAGACAATTAGCAATTTTGATTAGTGGAGGATGTAAACTGGGTAAAATCTAATTTTAGAAAATTTCTTTAAGGACCACACCCTGGCTAAATAGCTAAGAATTGAAAGATGTACCATAGCTTGCCACACCTGGGCCATTCTCAACAAAGTAATGTTTTATTTATCATTTAACAAGCACTTACATAGACTTACCCTTTGCCAGGCATTGTTTTAAATGCTTTTACAAACATTAACTTATATAAACTTCATAACAACTCAGTGAGGTGGATACTATTATTATTCCCATTTTATAGAAGGTAACCTAAGCGTAACACAGAAGACTACTGAGTTGTTTAACTGGGCCTAGGCTAAATGTCAGTCTGTCCCCTCAAATTAGGGAAAGTTCAGCCTGCTTGTACCTCTCCCATATAATACTAAAGAGTAGGTTAGTATTGGAGATCTCCTTGCCACCTTTCACTATCTCATATAATAAGCAATGTGTTGTTTTACAAGTATTTACTTACCTCCATTGTACGTAGGGAATAAAGACTAAGACAAAATGTATGTACTGAGAGAGAATTATAGTAAGAAGATATATAAAAAGTTATTTTATCTTTAGGCAAAATGCATGCCTAACTGTTATAGTAGAAATGCTGTGGCTATATATAGAAAGGAACAATAATTATTGAGTGGAGTTCAGTGGGTTTCCACAAGGTGACATTTGAACTGAACTTTAAAGGATAAAGGTGGCTTTTGATGGATGTAGAAACAGAGCAGATGGGAGGTCATTTGGCTGAGGAAACAGAAAGAAAAAGTATTTAAGATAAATTCTTGGGGAGGATTTTGACTCCTGGTAAGGAGTTTAGCTTTATTTTGTGCAGAGCCATTGACATTTGAAGAAGAGAAATGAAATTTTACACTGTATTTTGGGAAGACTACCTCTGTTGATAGTGGGAAGGATGACAAGATTTGACAATTGTAATAGCTCAGGAAGTAGTTAATGAAGGCTTGTATGATAGGAATAGTAAATAGTTAGAGAGGAAGGATTTATAGAACTAGTATCAACAGAATTCTTTGACTACTTAAATATGAGAAAAGGGGCAAAAGAGTAGTAGAGTTGGTTTGAAAGTTTCTAATGACCAGAAGGAAATATGTAACATTAGCTAATATGAAGATCACAAAAGGAGACAGGTTTAATGTGTGTTGAGAAAGTAAGAGCGGACAGATAATAAGTTCAGCTTTGGACATGAGCCAGACTGAGGTGTTGCTAAGATATTCTTATGGAGATTGTCGAGTAGGTGGAAGAAAATGTGTAGCTGTAGCATCAAAGAATGATTACGTCTGCAGAAATAGATTTGTGAATCATTAGAATGGGGTGCTATTTGAGTTCATGGAAGTTTGCTCATTTATTTGTTTTTATATTTATTCATTCAATAACTATTTGAGTGCCTACTTTATGTGAAATACTGGGCTAGAGACTTGAATGTAAGGTAGTTCAATAAGAAGGACCTCAATCCTATCTGGGAGTGTTTACTCATGGGCATAAATGAGATTGATTTAAGTAGAAAATGTACTAAGAAAAAAGAGGGCTAAAAATGGAGCATTACTGTATACTATATATATTCAATATTTCAGGTATATTGTTATACCAAAATTTCAGCTTCTCCCAGCAGCAGAATAAAGTACACAGGTGGTAAAAGTATCAGAATAGCAAAAGAAAAATACTAGTCTTGCACTTAGTTTTAGCTTTGCTGCTTTCTAGTGTATGACCTCTCTGGGCATTAATTTACCCATCTACAAAATAAAGTAGCTGCCATATATGACCACTGATGTACCTTCCTGTTCTAATACATGGGGAGCATGGTTTGATAGTGTTAATGTAAGCAGTTCTATATTAAATATTATTAACATAATAGATGAATAAGATGAATGAAAAGAAGAGAGATAGCCAGTGGTACAAACTGAGAAGTGGACAGCTGGAGGGGCTAGGAGAAGAACCAATAGCAGCAAAGGATGTGGAGGTTTTCAAGGAGGGGTGGACTATATGATGGATAATGTTAAGTAATGCAGAAAAGCTAGGTAGAATGAAGAGCTAAGACAAAGCTATTGTAGTAGCAAATACGATTTCATTAGCAACTTTTACTAGAGCAATTTCAGTGTTGGGGAGGCAATACAGATGAGTTAAGTTTTCATATCAAAATTTGTTATGGAACCTATGGAAAATATAGAAGCTCATGTTCCACACGTTTGATTAAGAAGCTCTGAAGTAGAGTTTGGACATCTGGGTATTTCCAGAGCTTCACAGGTGATTTTAATATGCATCTGGGACTGAGAACTACTGGGTTAAGGAGTGAATTATCATGAAATGGAGTTAGCAAGTAGAGTATCCATTTTGACTACCTTTTGTACTCTTAAACATGGAGACGCTTCAGAATACTGCTGCAGTATTTTTCATTCCTTGATAACACAGTTCCTTGTGTTCCTTTTTGGAGTGGAGCTTAGAAGTGTAGGAAAAAGCAGTTAACATGTTTCTCTTTACCATGACATTTTAAAGAGCACTGAGACTCATACTGTGAAATGTTGTTTGTTTGAAACTTTCACCGTGTGGACAATACTGCATTGTTTATGTCTCAGTTTCCCCTGACAAAATCAGCACATAGTAAATGATAAATGATTGTCTGTCAAATGAGTACATAAATATGAAGTAAAATAGGATAATATTTACAAAGTACAATTCTGAATAAGTCAATCAATTGACATAAGTTTCTCATGTCAGTTTTATCTCTGCTAGTGTATAGGATTAAGAAAATTATATAAATCATATATGACCCTATGTTATGGTTCTTCTATTATGAATCCTGTGTCATGGTGCTGTATATAGGCAAAAGCAATTTTATAAATGAATTTTTCAATATAGTAAATAATACTGCATATGTTCACATTTCAAGCCCATGTCAAAAGCAAAACTTGTTATCCCTTTTTATAAAAATAGTTAATAATTTCTAAATATGATATTCTGCCTCAATTTAAAAAGCCATTTTGAAAAACTGGGCAATTGCAATGCCAGGAAACTGGGAAAAAAAAAAAAAAGATCTCTGTAAGATAGACCCTTTCCAGACCTCAGTTATTTTCATAAACACACACAAACACACACACACACACACACACACACACACACGTACACACACAAATCAAAACATCAACCTTTTCAACCTATTTTTTCTTTACATTGAGAAACAGTGCTATAAAGTTATTTTTTCCCATTATTTTGGTCTATTGTGTGTTTGTTAAAGATGAAAAATTCTTTACATCAGCTTTGTATTCTCTCTGCCACTATCCAGTAAGGACATGGAATAATTTCTTTTCTTTAACTTGAGTTCCTAAAGAGATATGGCATCTACCACTATTATCAGTCTTTGGTACATATTGTTTACACTTCTGAAACTTTCAGGCAAAAATTCGCATGTCAGATTCTTTACTATTACAGTTTAATTGTGTTCTTTGTAAGGAGATGCTCTGAATATAATGCTTTTTCATTTAAAATAGGGATCTTCCTGTGGAGGAGCAGGCTAAGGAGGAAACCAAGAATAAGGTAGAAAAATCAACTGATCAACTGGTAAGAGACAATGAAGTCAGTTAACTAATGCTTTATGAGAATAGAATGCTAAATCTAATCAATTTAATTACCTGCTAAAAATTTTCCTACCTTAGTGGTCATCACTAAATCTTTCTTTGATAATTGATATTTGTGTCTCAAAGTTATCATTCTAAACACCAATCCTAACTGTCAGTTAAAATTAGTAGATAATTGAATTGACTTGCCCAGAAACATCCCACAATGCATTGTAAGAAATCTCTTATTTGTCTTTTGAAAGCAAAATTCAAAGTGAACACTATACACATAGAAATAAAACATACACAGAGAATTTTATTTAGTAAGACATTTCATTGAGTTGTTTCTGAAGTTAATTATTTTCTTGTTTTTATCATCTTTACTGTCAGAACCTCCAGTTCTAAATGAATAACTGAATTATACACTAATATAAAGCTTTTATTGCCAGTGACAGTATACTTTATGGTAGATTAAAAAATACAGAGGGCTTCCCTGGTGGCGCGGTGGTTGAGAGTCCGCCTGCCGATGCAGGGGACATGGGTTCATGCCCCGGTACAGGAAGATCCCACATGCCGCGGAGCGGCTGGGCCCATGAGCCATGGCCGCTGAGCCTGAGCGTCCGGACGGGAGAGGCCACAGCAGTGAGAGGCCCGCGTACCGAAAAAAAAAAAAAAATACAGACACATGTTTGTGAATATCACATGTATTTATGTTTAGTGAAGGATGGATGAGAGGTATTTGTTAGGTTCTTGTTAGTGTAATTTTTACTTTCCACATAGTTTTATATAATGATTGATGCCCGTTTGTTAATAAAGGTTATCCAATAACTTAGGAGGAGAAAAATATATAAACATAAAATAACCATAGTATTCACCTGCATGAGGTTATCACTGTAAAAAATTTTGCAGATGAAATACAATATGTTCAATATGTACACTTGGACCGGGGGATTGGATCCAGAAAAGCCATTTCTAGATACAGATTTTGGAATACAGAGGGAAAGGAGGTTGAAACTTTAACGTTAATTTGGCTTAGATTCTAAATCTATTTTGCAAAAATGGATTGAGCATCAAATATTTTGACAACTAAAAAATTAAAATTGTATTTATAATAAGATTATTTAACAAACATGAAGCTTATAGTAGTTCCTGTTGAAAAAATTTTATTCATGCCATAATCTTACTTGTGTATCAATTTGGTAATTAATGTTAGATGATTCTTCAATGACTTGATTACAGAATTGACCTTTAGTTTGAAATATATGCACTATTGACAATGGTCATTCTTTTTTTTTTAAACATCTTTATTGGAGTATAATTACTTTACTATGGTGTGTTAGTTTCTCCTTTATAACAAAGTGAATCAGCTATACATATACATATATCCCCATATCTCTTCCCTCTTGTGTCTCCCTCCCATCCTCCCTATCCCACCCCTCTAGGTGGTCAGAAAGCACCAAGCTGATCTCCCTGTGCTATTTTACATTTGGTAGTGTATAAGTGTCCATGTCACTCTCTCACTTTGTCACAGCTTACCCTTCCCCCTCCCTGTGTCCTCAAGTCCATTCTCTACATCTGCATCTTTATACCTGTCCTGCCCCTAGGACCTTCAGAACTTTTTTTTTTCTTTTAGATTCCATATATATGTGTTAGCATACGGTATTTGTTTTTTTCTTTCTGACTTACTTCACTCTATATGACAGTCTCTAGGTCCATCCACCGCACTACAAATAACTCAGTTTCATTTCTTTTTATGGCTGAGTAATATTCCATTGTACATATGTGCCACATCTTCTTTATCCATTCATCTGTTGATGGACACTTAGGTTGTTTCCATGTCCTATTGTAAATAGAGCTGCAATGAACATTTTGGTACATGACTCTTTTTGAATTATGGTTTTCTCAGGGTATATACCCAGTAGTGGGATTGCTGGATTGTATGGTAGTTCTATTTTTAGTTCTCTAAGGAAACTCCATACTGTTCTCCATAGTGGCTGTATCAATTTACATTCCCACCAACAGTGCGACAATGGTCATTCTTTATAAAGGATTGTTTGGTTATTTTTTAGAAGCTTTTTTTTTTAACTTTTTGAAAAATTTCAAACCTACAGAAAAGTCGCAAGACTACTACAATGAGCACTTATATACTCTTTACTGAGATTTAGCAAACTGTTAACATTTCCTACATTTTTGGATGTAAATATAATGAAGTACCGTAAAATGTAAGATGTGTTTGTTGGGTGTTGTTGGGAATGAAGGACTCTCAATTTAAGACTCAAAACCAGAAGTGGAGAGGAGGAGGAAGAGGAAGAGGAAGTGTAATAGTCCTGCTGTGGACATAATTGTTTCCTAGTTACTTTCCTGGGTAGTTCCAGTTCTGTTAGAAAACAGGCAGTCACAGTTACCACACACCAGTGACTGTTTTGCGTTTTCAGTGACTCTACATGGCCTCTGCAGTAATAACCTGTCTGTTCTCATATACAGAGGTCAGTGGCTACATATTCGTATTCCCAAAGTTTCAGCAGGGTGTAAGGACTGTGGTATCTTGTTAAGGTTTGAAGGAAGGCCGTCATCCACCTGTTCCAGGATCTTTATTCATTTCTATTGCCCATTCGTTCCTCACAATTAATGTTAATAGAAAATCCAGCAAGACTTGACTATATAGCTATCAGTTAACCATTAACTACAGCTTTATTAAGTCTGTAGGATCAGTTCCTGAAGTCCCAAGATTATTACTATTTATTCAGCTCTGATTGAATTGAGATTATATGTAGAATCATTATATTATACTAATTTATTTATAATTTAAAGTATTATAACTATTCATTTTCAAATTGCTGTGTTTAGTAGCTGAAACATTCGTCACATAACGTAAAAAGCACTGTTGGGTATAGTTTTCATATTATTTTGTAGAATGATCTATTTAATATTTTAAACAGCATTTTTTATGCCTTAAATGGACCAATTCAGTACATGTTGTGTTTTTCTCAAGGGCAACCATTTTTTAAGGCTTCACTCACATTTAAGCCTAAAATCATTCATGTTTCCCATCCCACCACCATAAAAAAAAGACATAATTATTTCCATCTTAGAATCTATGCTTTGTTTATAACTTTTAAATTCATGTATGATGGCCTTCCTTAGATTAAAGCTTCTTGAGTTTTAGTCTTAAGCTTTCAGCTATGTTGTAAGTTCCTTGAGAGCAGAGAGACTGTCTTATTCTTATTGTAGTCTGTCAGAGTGATCTACATATAGCATGTAAAGGAACTTTTAAAAAAAAATACTTCCGCTGGTTTTAATATTAGAGTAAATTAGAACATGTATAATTGTGTAAATTTTTAATAATGTCTTCTAGGACAAACAGGAAAAGAACATACCTACTGATCTTGTCCCTGTTAACCTGCTATTAGAAGTGAAGAAGTTATTGAATGCAATTAATACTCTTCCAAAAGGTGTGGTTCCTCACATCAAGAAGTTCTTACAAGAAGATTTTTCCTTCCAAACTATGCAGGTAAGATATAATTTGATATTTGGGGCAGAAGTGTAGGTCTGTGTATATGATACACTGTTTCTTTACTCTCACACTACTGCCATACTGACAGCACTTCTGACACTAGATGTGTGGGTTTAGTCCCACAACAGTCAATTCTCCAACGTTACCTGGGTGTCCTACAAATCAATTCAATTCTGACACTGTCTACCTGGAGTTAGCATCTGATTCCACAAGTTAAGGGCCCAATCCAAGACTGTTCCCACTTCAGATGCCAATCACCAGTCCTAGGTTGCCCCAGTACTTCTGACTGACTGGCTATACATTGGGGTTCCCATGACCCCTGATGAGTGCAGTAATTTGCCAGAACAGCTCACGGAACTCAGGGAAACACGTTGACCATTTTATTACATGATAAATGATATGATTGATAAAGGATACAGCTGAACAATCACAGGAAGATATACATAGGGCAAGGAGGGGTCTCAAGTGCAGGAGCTTCTCTTCTTTTGGAGTTGGGGTACACCACTCTCCTGGCATGTGCATGTGCAAACTGGAAGTTTTCCAAAACCCATACTTTTAGAATTTTTATGGAGATTTCATCATGTAGGCATGATTAGTTATTAGTTCAGTTTCCAGCCTCTCTTCCCTCTTTGGGGTATGGTGCTGAAATTTCCAAGTTTCTAATCACGGCTTGGTCTTTCTGGTGACCAAGCCTCCATCCAGAAGCCCACTGAGAGTCACCTCATTAGAACAAAAGACACTCCTATCATCCAGGAAATTCCAAGGGTTTTAGGAGCTCTGTGTCTGGAACCAAAGTCAAAGACCAAATATTGGCAGGAACTGGGGACAGATCAATATATGTATTTCTTATTATATATGTATTTCCTATTATTTTACAATGACTTTTCTTTTTTCTTTTCTTTTCTTTTCTTTCTTTCTTTCATTCTTTCTTTCTTTTTTCCCTCCCTCCCTCCCTTCCTTCCTTTTTCCTTCCTTCTCCTTCCTTCCTTCCTTCCTTTTTTCCTTTCTTTCCTTTCTTTCTTTACCATAACAGTGCCACTAAGGTCTTGACATCTCCATCTTATATCTTATGAAGGGCTTTGGTTTCAGCTTTGACTCTAGACTTTTATTAATTAAATAAAGCTGATGCTAGCCTTTCAAGGATAATGATAGGAATGTGGGTTAGTAGCTTATAAGCTGTTGACTATAAGATCTAGTGTTTATTCTAATAACTCACAACATGCCACTCTGGGAGAGGAAACTGCTTTCAGTTTTCCTAATTTGTAAAACACATATTTTTCAAAAATGTAAAATATAAGGAAAAATAATAAGGCCTGGATTTTTTAATGAGATAAATATTTTAGAGAATATATTGTCAATTTTCATCTTAGAAATAGCTTTTCTAGATAATAAGTTGTGAAACTTTCAACACAAGATGGGTATCAGTTTGTAAATTAATGGAATTTCCCAAAGTTAAAGAAAATGATCTTCTCTTCTTTGTGACAGTTAATTGGGAGGCGGAGACAGAACACCATAGGTGTCCTGAAAAGGCCACATTTACCTTTTCTGTGAAAGAATATATCATTAATTATTTCCATGAAACAAGTTAATACTATTATGATTAAAAATATAAAAAACTCTAAAAATATCCAAAGACTTTATATACAGCTATAATCTTAAGTGAGGTAATTTACCACAAGTATGAATTCTGGTTTGAAATTGATGGAATAATGCCACTATTTCCCTCTTATCTTTTGGAAATCACTCAGAAACCACAGTAAGAAATAGAAATCAGTAGGCTTTATATATCTAAACAATACCAGTTAGAAGGTAAAAATGAAAGAAAAATATTTTTAATAGTAACAGAAAAGATAAAATACCCAGGAAAACACTTAAGAAATATACAAGATATAAACTAGCATTTCTCACAGTTTTTCCTAAGCCACTTAACGTGAGCCTATCTGACCCCCATACTAGTCCTAAAGAATCAAAATCTCTGGGGGGAGGTCTGGGAATGTGCATTTTAGTAAGTACCCCCAAACACTGATTTTTTTTACACTAAGTTTAGAAATCAATACTTTATATTAAAACAATAAATAAAAATTTCTAAAACTCTATTAAAGGTAAGATACAAAGACCTGAATGGGAAGCAATACATGTAGGAAGACACAATGTGATAGAGAAGTCAATTTTCCTGAAATTAAAATTTACAAATATCATATAATTCCAATAAAAATAACAAAAGTTTTTTTGTTGTTGTTTCTTTTGGTTTGTTTGTTTTTGTTTCTGTTACTAAAAGCTAGTTCTAAAGGGAAATTAAGGGAAGAATAGCTAGGAAAATTATGAAAGAGAAGTGTGGGAGAGAAGGGCTTGGAATTTGCCCACTTTGATATTAAAACTTACTGTGGGGACTTCCCTGGTGGAGCAGTGGTTAAGAATCCACCTGCCACTGCAGGGGACACAGGTTTGAGCCCTAGTCTGGGAAGATCCCACATGCTGCGGAGCAACTAAGACCGTGCACCACAACTACTGAGCCTGTGCTCTAGAGCCCATGAGCCATGACTTCTGAGCCCGCGTGCTGCAACTACTGAAGCCTGCATGCCTAGAGCCCATGCTCCTCAAGAAGAGAAGCCACCGCAGTGAGAAGCCCATGAACCGCAACAAAGAGTATCCCCTGCTCACCACAACTAGAGAAAGCCCGTGCGCAGCAACAAAGACCCAACGCAGCCAAAAATAAATAAATTAAATAAATAAATTAAAAAAGAAACTTACTATGAAGCTCTAATAATTAAAAGATTGTGTTACTTGCTCTTGACTCTAAAGACAAGTGTAGAAAATACAAGAGAAATTCCAGTAGTAGACCCAAATACATTCAGAAATGTTATGCGTAATAACAAAAGTTGGTAATACTAAAGGGGAAGTGGACCAATCAGCAATCCCAGTGGAAGATTTTAACATAGCTCTCTTAATAAGTAATAGAACATGAACACAAAATTAGTAGAGCTGTAGCAAACGATGTAATTGACTTATATATGTGTAATAGTGACAAAATGTGTGTTCCTTTTTTTTTTTTTTTTTTTTGAGAGCAATTGAATAAAAAGCACATATTTATTCAGAGATTTCCCACATACCTAGCTTTGGGGGCAGCCAGTATGTGTGAGAGAATAAGAATAGCCGTGATTATTTATTGTGCTTGCCATGTGCCAGGCATCCTGCACACGTTCAAAAAAAGTGACCCTAGCTACTCTCTGAGTTGGATAGCTATTATTCTTATTTGAAATAGAAGGAAACGGAGGCTAAGAGAGGTCAAGCAACTTGACTACATAGCTGGTGATGGATAAGGTAGGGTGTGTTCTCAACCTGTGCGATCTAATGCCTCCCAAATTGGCCTCTCTCTAGAAGCTTACGTTCTTCTTGTGGAGATCAGACACTTATAATTGAGGCAGTTACAGAATTAGGATCGTAAGAGGCTAACTGTATCATATGTCTCTCTTGCTATGTAAGTATATGCTGTCACCATTTCATACAAGTGTGGGGTTGTGTAATGGCTAAGTATGTATAATCTGGAGTAAGATGCCTGGATTCAAATCTCACTTGGACCTCTTCCCATCTGTGTGATCTTGGACAAGTAGCTTAACCGTTTTGTGCTATAATTTTTTAAATTGTAAATTAAGGGATCATAAATATACCTACCTCATTGTGAGGGATACATAAGAAATGTAAAATGAAACAGTGCCTGGCAAAATGTATTTCCTGCTAGAGGCTTCACAAAGGCAGCAATTTATTTATGCTTTATTCATTTATGTATCTTAAACATCTAGAACAGTGCTTGGTATGAAACAGACGTTCAGTAGTAAGTACATTGTTGAATGAATAAATATATTTCAGTATATAAATGCCAGGGCTTAGTCACATTAGCAGACATAATGAAGTGGTCAGATGCTTGTACATCTATGTAGAACAGTGGTTCTATGTAGTCCACGATTCATGCTGGAAATATCTGGAAGGCCTTTAAATCGACTGGTTCTCAAGCCCCACTGCAGGCAGAGGTTGAACACTGCTGTTGGAGAATCACTGTGAAAGTAACAGCTACAAACGTAGAGTAATACAGGTAGAAAAGGTTGAAGAGTCAACGCCAGTGGTGATTTTCTGAATGACTTTTGACTCTTAGGAAACTAAAGCCAACCTTTGTTTCAATGATAATTATATTCCTGAAAATGTCAATATACGTTAAGATCGTCAAAAAATATTCTGTGTTCATATGTAAAATGAATTAAGATTTAGGCTCAAAAAATTACACAAGGTTTGTTCCTCTACATAACTCTATGGTGGGATATTTGGAATTTGTGTGGGGCGTGAGACGATTTCTTATTGAGTAGACTCTCCTTAGCATGGCAGGCAGCTTGTCTGGGTCAGCCTAGAAGCATTGTGGGCTGCTCTGAATATAGGCTAAGTTAATGCCAATGAATCGGGGGAAAAACACCAACCTGCACCATAAGTAAGATCTTGCTTGAGGTACTTGGGGAGTTAAACCCAAGGTACAGAGTAACTTTTGAGGCAGCTGGTTCCTTTTCTAGAACAAGGAGATGAGTTCACCAATCTTTAATGTGAAAGTTACTTGTTTTACGAGACTTCATGGCTTAGGGGCCCTCCTGACTTGCTGGAGTGTCTGCTCCCAGCAGGCGGGGTCCTCATTCTATTCCCACAGGCAGCATCCCTAGGAGAGGGAGTTGGCGAGATGGAGATGGATTGATTACGGGAGCCACATCAACCTGGAATAAGAGGAGAACCAAACTGAATTGAGGGAAATTTGCAAAATGGATAATTAGAGAGTATCCTGGCTAAATAACCACTTATGTGTTTTCCCATAAATGAAAAAAAGTTTCTCTTTATGAAGAGTACATGCTGCATGTTTCTTTTGATAAATACATTACCAAAATATTAACAGTATCATATGCCCTTTACAAATGTTGTAGCAAATGATTCCATTTTAATGTTGATCACAAAGCCGTTTTGAGTTCTTTCAGGCTTCTCAACACTGGATTCTACCTCTCTTTGCCTTTATCTTTAAAGAGCTGCTTTGAGGGATTTCTGGCTTTCTCGGGAAAGAATATCACTGAAACGCAAGGCCT